CATTTTCTTGGGAAGAGGCATAGCCTTCTGCCAACTAATCATAATTAGGAACTTTGTAGATTGACAGATCTTGGAAGAATGAGAAAGGAAATAATCCTGAGATAACTGGATAAAAAAAAAAAAGAAAACAGAGAGATAAGGAGAAGAATGTACATAGGGATAAAGGGACTGCCCAGGACCAATATAAATGAGCAATAAGCAATGAAGAACAAGTGAGTAGGGAAGAGTTTCCAGGGAGAAAGATAAGAGAAGAGATTGGACCAGGCTGGTCTGCATTTCAGCCACTTGTTGGCATCACTATCAAGAATAACGGGGATAGAAGAGGTCATTGAGGATGACTGAGATGCAGGGACCAACAGGCAAAGACTCATAATTATTGGAAGTTTATATGTTCCATATAGTTCAGTTAAAACTAACACATACAAATATCTTACTTCAAATTTATTCTTAGCCTAATTTTCCCAAAGAAACTGGAAAGATTAACACAATTAACATGATTTTCATGTCATTAAATGAGACATGAGGGAGCTCTGGTGGCCTAGTTGTAAGGAGCTGAGCTGCTAATCTGAAGGCATGTGGTTCAAATCCACCAGGTGCTCTGTGTGTGGATGGGCAGTCTCCCCCTGCGTGGTTTACTGCCTCTGAAAACCCACTGGAGGGTTAGCTATGAGTGAGCTCTGACACAAGAGTATCAAACAACAACAGCATGAGACATAATGTAGGAGATGAGGATAAGAATCTATTCAGTATTTATTTAGTTCCAGGAATGGTTCCAGATACAGAGAAACAACAGAGGGGAAAATGGACAGTGTCTGTTCTACTGAAGATTATGTTCTAAGGCAAGGAGACAGAAATACACATATAAATCAGATGGCGATGGGTGCAAGTACAATAAAAACACATACACCAGGGTCAGGAGTAGAGAGAGTACTGGTGATGTATATAGTTGTGCTATTTTTAGAAATTAAGGCCAGTTATAACTCCAAGGCACACAACAACAACAATAATGAAAAAAGCAAAAACGAATGGCTTTAACAAATAATAATTTCTCACAATTTAAGAGGATAGAAGTCCAAAGGGAGCTCTTCCAGAGTGGTTGCACTATTTTACAATCCCACCAACGGTGTATGAGAGTTCCCACCTCTCCACATCCTTTCCAACATTTACTTTCCAACTGCCTTACTAAACTCGAACACAGAAAATCCTTTTGACCCAGCTATTCCACTACTAGGAATATACCCCAAGGAAATTAGAACTGGAACACAAATGGAGATTTGTACACCAATGTTCATAGCAGTGT